TTTAAGTGGTTACATTAATTTTTAAACACAAAAAAGGGAGAAAGAAAGAAAAAGAAAGAAAGAAAGCATCTGTAGGCCTAGTCTTGCCTACATCTTTTTAATTCAATATCTTTCAGCTTGGTCACATGACTTCTGGTCTTCTCTGCAACATTTTCTGTATAAGAGTCTGTGGATGAACAGCTTAAATCTACACAGTGGTTATTCCTATTCATGCCTTGGGCAAAGGGAGCTTCATACCAGTCTTCAATAAAAACATGCTGAATAGACATGAGCACACCTGCACATCTTCAGGCTGGTCTCCAGCCTGAGGTTGAGTAGCAGTAAACTCAGGAGCTAGATCATTTCATTTATCCTGAAATTTCTTCTTGGTCACAGCATTTTCTACAGCAGGCTATTCTTTTAATCTCTTCAGAATCTCTGTAGAAGTAGATAAAGCATAACCTGCTATGGGTATGCACTGGAGATAGTGCCATGTACATGCAGAACTTCTCAAATTCGCATCCTCCACATCAGAACTACTGGTAGAACTTTCTAGACCATGCTGCACATCAGATCCACTGAGTTATCCCCCTTTGTTATTATGATGAATAGTAATATTCATGTAACACCAAGAATCTGTGTTACACAGAGCATCAGTAGGCAGGGTCGCATAACACGCCTCTGCAAGAGGCTGGTGGTCAGCCCTGGGATCAGTAACCACCAGAAGACATGGTTCCCAGAAGTCTGCCTAGATCTGGTTTCTGAAAGTTTTTAAAGCGAAGCATTCCACAGGGCTCTTGTAGCAACTGCGAACACTGACATCAGATAAGATTTCAAAGGCAAAAAGAACAGAAAATGCCAATAGAATTTTCTCCCAGATCCTGCTCAGATATATGCTGTAGATGCCATCACCTTTGCTTTGAACATGGACTGCTCCATTTGGAGGTCAAAGCTAGTGTCTCCTAAGAGCAGGTTCTTTTACTGCAAAGAATTTAAGGGAAACTTCTTTCTTCATATGCAGGATATCAGGATCTATAGTCATTATGGAAATGTCCCTTTGAGTTCTGATGGGAACCCAGGACAACATGATATGGACCCCTCTCTTGGGAGACAGAAAAGGCTCACCTTATAAAATAAATTCTGTTCTTTGTGTTCATAATGTTCTCAATCAGCACATGTACTTCAACATAATCTGTCTTCTGGAAATGTGAAAATAATGTGCCAATGTACCTTCAGAATCCTCTCAACCTCACTTAGAATTTGATGCAGGAAGATTGCTCTTTGGAAATCTGGGATTAAGGATACTGATTGCAACAATACATAACAGGAAACAGACTTATGCAGGAATCATACTTGTGATGCTGACTCCTTTTAGACTGTGAATATCTAGATGAGCTAAGGTTACCCATCAGATCTCTCCTTCCTGTTCATATTTATTACTGTTTTTCCACTTTTATATTGTTGGGCTGTTTCTCCAGTTAATTCATGCAATCTCTATTTGTCAAAATCCATACTTGACAGAATCCTGGACTGCTAATTCTACAGAGTGGTCACTAGGTGCTTCTTTCTCCTGGAAGAAAATGATAGACTTACTTAGAAATCTAATACTAATTTTTTTAAACAAAAGTGAGCATTAACAGAACATCATTAGCCTCTTCACTGGGTTGAGACAGAATTTTGTCTATTAGATGGACTTTGATGCTTTGTTCCCTACTATGAAGATACTCCCACTCTCAGGAAACAGCAATGTGGAGCTGAGGCAGGGGAAGGAACACCACATAGAAAGAAACTGCATAGAAATAAAAACATTGCTCTAATATTAAAGGGAAAACAAAATAATAGAGTCAGGAAGCAGCTCAGCAAAGCCATTACCATGCTTATTGCCATTTGAAGGCACAATGATTGAAGTTATTGTCTTAATGTAAGATTACTAAATAATGCATCCCATAAAAGAAAGACATTGTATTGGCCATAAAACGTGTGTAACTGCAACAGAATTCATACTTATTTAATGACACTTTAGAATCAGATGGTAATTAAAATGAAGTAGGAATTTTTAAAAGCCAAATTCAAACATACCAGTATATAAATTGAAACATTCTCTTTGTTTTGCAATCACATAAAGAAGTAAGTTTCGCAACAGGGATTTTTGAATTTTTTTTTCTTTTTTCTGTTTTCTTTTTTGACCCACTGGGAACAGCACAATTTTGACTCCTCAGTATTTCCACTTCTAATTGCTAGGAGGGTTCATTATCAGCTGTCTAAAGTGCAATACATCAACCTCACAAAGCTGAGTTACAAAAGACGTTCACACATCTGATGGGCTGCTGTGCTAAATACATCTTAATTTGTGCTGCATCTGCTGTTTTCTAATTTGTTTGTCATGCTGTGAATGCTGCAGACTTTGTTAGAGCAGCTCCCTGAGTTTTTTTTCTTTAAACATGCATCAATACTTCATTTTTTAAAAAATGGATGCCTTCCATCATTGTTCATCTGTGTCTGAGAATGCCATAAACTCAATTCTATTATGCGCATATATGTATAAAAACTCTTGTGTATTTGAATATGTATATGTATATTAGTATGAATTCACATATATTTGCATGTGCATCAATCCAAATATTCAGTTTAATCACATAAAGCAAAACAAACTCTCCTCAGCCATAACTGGATGCACAAAGTGACAAACACATCAACCTTAGAACTCTGGCATGGATTAAAGAGCTTCAAGCTGCTGGTTGCTGGCTTTGGCTCCCTTCTGTGCCAGAGACGTGAGCAAGGTTGGTGCTCTGTTTTGACCTGACTAAGTCGCAGTGTGAGAAACAAGCATATGTGATTCAGCACAATCCAGGATAAACCAGCCTCAATATTAAGGAAGCTTACATTTGAATTGGACAATAAAATAAATACCACCACCTCAGGCCTGTGCCACGCCTAGTCTTTCCTTAGAAAAGCAGCATCCAAGGCAAAGACAAGGCAGGTCTCCGGACATGGGACCAGTGCGATCATACAGCACCTCCTCCCTATGAGAGCCTGAGCTGAATTTGTTGTTTGTTAATTGTTTTAAATTTTTAAATAATTTATGATCAAACAAGGAGCGTATTTTCACTTTTCAATGAAACCTCATAAATCAGGTAGCTGGTCTTTGGTACAGAAAAGTTTAAGGGACACTGGAGGGACAATGGAAGGATTTGCTCTGTATTATTTCAATTTGTCAGTTTTTTAAGATCACAAAAACTTACCCTTTGAAATGGAGAAGGAAGAAAGTGGAGAAAGAGGAAAGCAAGAAAAGGAAAACCAAGTGCTATTCACTTTGTGTTCATACAATTTTAAGGAGAATGGAAGATGGAAGGCAGTCATTTCTAGGTGATATTTATCATTTCTGAGTACAGAACTTCTTTTGAAACTGATGACAAGGATTTTTTTTTTTGTCATGGACTTTGGGGTCACTAGCCAGTGACAACCAAAGTCAGCCTTTAATCTTAAAAATTAAGCTAAATACAATTCTTGTTTTGTTTCTTTTTTTTTTCTTTTTTTTTTTTTAAACACGGTTTCCAACCACTCTCTTTTATTTGTATATGTATGCACAGGGGCACACACAACACAATTTAAGGAAACCACAATAAAAACTAGGGATTTGGAGCAAGGCAGTGAGCTGACTGTCAGTGAGATGCTGACACAGACTCTTGCTGTGGTCTGCAAGTCTGCATCTTGGCTTCTGCCTCTGTGCCCCTCACCAAGAGGGAGCCACGGGGCCCCATTCACATAATGCCAGTCTCCCATGTCAAGTTTTCCCAAGAACATGCAGAAGTGATTACCAAAGCAGGTGTTATGACTGGTAGAGTCACAGACAAATCAGGGCTTCCTTTCAGGAGATGTTGAATCAATAAAGCATACTGTTCAACCCAGGCTGAGAAAAACACCTCAAAGTAACAGCATTTGTAAAGGTTAATCAATTCAGCTAATTGTAAATGCTCTCAATTGTCAGTCCCTAAGCAGTCCCTTCTCTTTGTAGCTAGTAATTCACTGTGGGATGCGGCAGCTCGAAAGCAGAAAGCAGAGAAAGAGGGGAAAGCAGTCAAATTTCTCATTACTCTCTCCATGTTGTGCTCTGTTGGTGTCTGTAAATGTCAATATATTTACCAGAGGGAGATAGCCTTTTTTCCCTACTAGCACTGTGTTGTCTCCTTCATTATATACAAAACAAAGTAAAGAGCCTAATTATCTTGGGTCTAGGCAGATGGGAAGGAAATCAGAGCATTGATCTTTGGGGTGATATCTTCAGGCAGTGCATAGGACTAATATCCTGGGCAGGGAGAGGGATGGTCTTTCACCAAAAATAATAAGAAAGTGATGTCTTATTCACTGCCCAGAAATGACTCAGGAAAAAAGACTTCAACTCTTTCCTCTCCCCTCCTGCCATTTCCCCAGTAAGAACAAAACCATTCTGGAGGGTTTTATAAATGAGGGTCTGTGGAGATTGCAGAATAGAAACAAATCACGTCAGGCAGAAAAACACTGGGATGATTCTAGCCCCAAATTATAACCAGACTCTGGCAACGAAAGCAAACCAACCACTTTAATGGAACCAGGAATTCCTGTCTTTCTATGAGGCTTCATAATAGAGGGGCTCATATTTCCAGGCCACTGGTGAGTGTTCTGTTGGGGGACACAGAATGTCATTTGATTATATAAATGCTGGGGAAATTCTAGAAAGTAGTGACACAAGATAAATGATAAATTGTTCTAAGAAAAGTCACATTCCTTTTGAGATCACTTACACATTTCCTCTGCCCTTTACTTTTTGTGTATATGCATATATATGATATTTCATTTTAGAAAGTTTTATTTCCCTGTCATTACAAAGCTTAATCCTTCATATTTAGAAAATAAAGCAAGATACAGTTGTTTTTCAAGCAATATTCATATAAGACAAAAATGAAGATAAGAACTCTTTCAAATGTTTCAGTACATGGGTAGTATTTATAGCAAAGTATGTAATAACAACTTACCTTCACCCATTTATTATACCTCAGAATTCAATGATGTATGTAATTTCCCATATTGAAACGTGAACTGCTGGAACAAGCAGTCAATTTCCTTTTATTTCATTTGCACCTCAGTAAAATGTAAATGTCTTGTCTTTGGTGGTAAAGCCTTGAGGAGCTGGCAAAATTTAAAAATTTAAAAATGTAGAATGAATCACAATATATTATAAATCCTAAGCTTTCAACAACTTGACAAAAGAGCATGCTTATATTCTATGTATCTCAATTTAGTGTTATTAATCAAAGACATTGTAAAATTCTAACTAGATCTATCAGAGGCCTTGTGTTCCTGTCAAACAGTTTTATACTGCAGGTTCATTAGGCAGTACAGTTAGACAAATCAAGGGACTCAGCCAAAGCATACAGTCTTGTTATGAACAGTATCAGAAGGGAAAAATAAAAAACCTAGAGAAGACTTGGAAGATGGGGGATTGATAACTGGCACGTTACAAGGTGTCTTATCCCCAAACATGTGGGATAATGCCAGCTCTGTATAGGAATACAGCATGTTTAAAGTCAAGTTGAGTGATGCATTATAATAGTAATGGTGAAGAGTCAGAAAATAAAATTTAAGTGCTCTACTGGAATACACAGAAGGAACAGTTTACAAGGGGAATTCTGCACTCAGAACAAGTTCATCCATCCACAAATACACTTAAACACACCATATTAGCCTTTGAAAAATGAGAAACTAACAAGTTCACAATGTCCAGAAATTACCTCCACAGAGAAGATGCATGGGAAAGACCTCAATTAGTACTCTGGCTTCTGTCCATCCACTTTCCTTCCTCCTTTTTCTAAAATATATTTCACTTATTCAACTATGCCATTTTCCCATAATTTCAAGAGAAAGTTCCTGGCACCCTTGAAGATGTTGAGAAATGAGAGTGAAGTTCCCAAATGAAATATTTCAACTTTCAAGGAATTGATATACCTGTTCAAGTTTCAAGAACTAGACATCATGCAAGTAATGAGCAAAGTTAACAAAGCAAACATCTTCAGGACTCTATTATTTTATCTCATTTACTGACTCTGTCTGAGTACGCGTTACCTTTATCCCCAGATATATTCATTCAGAGCCCACAACCTTCTATACATAATGCAGTTTTCTTTCCAGAGGATAAATTTTTATATCAGTTTAATAATTTCTTGAAGTTATCCTACAGTATTGCTCAACTTGCTTCTAAATTAAAGCACTTATTAAAAAACTTTGAAGCACTCTCACAATTTTAAATCACTGTGCACACAGCAATTTAAAATTACGGGAGCAGTTTTATAAGCACTTGAATTTGGAGGTGATCAGAGACCTGAAAATGTGTAATATAGAGTAATTTAAAATTATTAGAGTACTTCACATTTTTTATAAGCTCTTCAGCTGGGAAGTGTCCGGGTTCTAACATCTGAGACTGTGTAGCGCAAAGTGAAGTACTTCTCAGCCTGAGATGATTCACTCCATTAAATCAAACTACTTTAATAATTTTAAAGTGATGTACAGTGGGCATGCCCAGATCTCCAAATTCACTTTTAAATTAAAAATATTTTTCACTTCGGACCTACAAAAGACATTTATGTGATAAAGCAGCAATTTACCCTTTCAATTTTAGATATCAAACTACCCTCTTGCTTTTATAGTAGTTTTCCCTTGGCAAAAAAAAAAAAAAAAAAAAAACACCAAAATATTAAAAATATTTCTTTGTCATGAAAGAAAAAAAAACATTATACTAGGAAACTTCAACAACCTAGTTGTCTTTGAAAATACTTCCATGTTAAAGCAAACTTTAGTGTATTGTGTTAGGAGATATAACACTTTACAACTGAAACAATGAAAAACTAATATCTCAAGGGAGTTTTAAAACCTTTTTATTCTTCACTAAGAGCAGCTTTCTTGCTACCTAAGAAAAATGGTATTAACTCTACCATGTCTTCTGAAGACCACACTGACCTGAAACAAAATCATGTGGTTCCAATAACATGCTCCCATCCCACCACTTGAGTTCAAAGTAAGGACAACATTAAAAAGCATGATATGAATGCACTCAATATACATTCATGACATGTACATTTGACAAACACCACCCTCGGATTATACAGTTTTGTGACTGTTTTGCTATTTGAAATATTATACTTTCTAAAGCATAATAATAGGGTAGAATTCTGGCTTAAATTTATTATTTTCACTCATAATCAATTAAAAGGGATTCTAATTGCCTTGTAGAATAATTCAATTTTTGTTATACTTAAATGTATTACTGAATTGATATTTGCATTAAGGATAGATCATTTAAAATCTTGTTCTGTCACCCCATGGAAACATAATAACAACTCAAATTACTAGGGAAATGACTATAAAAATCTTTCAGAAGTTAGAAAAAAAATCCTTTTTCTCTTTACTACTTAGTATTGGGAAGTTACCTTTTCTCCTCTCCCCCTGTCCCACCTCCAATGCCCTATTTAGTGGGCGTCTCACTGGAGCCAGTCTAGTAGAAAGTAATGACTTCTTTAACCATAGTTTGAATATTATCCTATAGGAGAATTGATCTGGAGAATTTCCCAGCAGTAATTCACCCCTATAGAAGGATGTGGGTGCTGTTTGCCCTGGTTCTTATCACAGAATGAGGCCACAAAGCACATGTGCACTGTTCGATTTAAATGTCCTTTTGGTTTCCCATGAAACTGTCAGAGCCTCTTCATCTTTCACCATAGATGCCACCTGTAAATTAAAGTCTTTGGGCAGAAGAAGAGGCAAGAGTTGGCTTTAACAAGTTCTCTCTTAGAGCAAACTCTTTCATTGAGAGAGATGCAAGGACATCCAGAAAATCCAAGTGGGCTTATTCTGAGGGCTGTTGTACTAACATCTTTAACTTCAAAGGCTAGACCTTAATGCTGAACATGAAATTGAGACATATGTCTAGACCGCTCTTTAGAGAAAGAAAAGGGGATTCTCTCTAAAGGTGGAATTCACCTTTGGCCCAAACTCTTGTCTGAACACTCTCTGCAACAAGTATCCAGTGTTTCAGTGAAGTGACAATAATGGACTCAAAGGATATTTCATATTAAATATTCATGTGTATACCAAAGTCAGGGTTACTGTCTCTATGAAAATGTCTCTGAACTTAATAGTAGTTTGAACATAACTTAAACCTCTATGTCAAAAACTTCAGAAGTTATACAATATCTGCTTCTATATAAAAGCATTTTAATTCAATGATTATTTGCATTTGCCTGTACATTATACTCAAATTGTCCTGGTTTTCAAGTTATTTCCAACAAAAATTATTCTGGAAAAGAAACTAAAAGAAAACTGTCCTGGCATAGAAATGTGTAACATTTAGACAAGTTTGTATGCACTCAGTAGAGTCACTCATTTGGCTATATTGTCATAAGAGTATATAATTAAATTGTAATAATGCAAAAAACCCTCTATATATTCATGTCTGGAAACTAAAACAGGTTTTCAAGGAATTAAAATCTAAATAAGAAATCATTCACTGGAAGATATAAAGAGATGATGAATTTGTGTGTGGCTCAATTGATGGGGAAATTTGGGTACAAATGATAGAAAAAAATCTCAAGGACATAACTAAGGATTCGTAAGATAGTTAAAGGATGCGCCAATAATTTCTTTCAATAGTATGTGGGTTGACAGAAAACCTCTAAACAAAATTCTTGCTACAATGAATAGGTAAAAAGTAAGTCAGGCAATTATGATACAATGGATTTGAAAATCAATGTGGATATTTCAAACTAAGTGGCTATTAGATAGAAAGCAAAAAATGTAATTGCAAGAATAATATCAAAGAAGACATTTTGATGAAAATATAATACTCACACATTCTTGGGCTACGCAAACATAATGAAACATGACAGGCATGGGACATTTGTCAATGGCTCTGCTCTGGATCTGTCATTGTATTTTACTGTAGTAATCGCTGCTTTCAGGATCCCTATGTAAAGAGTGAGAGAAGCAATATTGGATGATGCCAATCTATGAGTCTCCTGTGTACAACGTTGACTTTAGTACTGAAACCAGGGAGATAATATGAGAATAAAGCTTTTGTACATGCACTTAAAAACCAATGTGCACTTTTCAGATAAAATGTTATTAATTCCTGTGCATTTTCCTGCAGCAGTACCTATGCCCACTCACATGAGTGTATTCAACATTATTTCATCTAAGAGCACTGCTAAGTAAACAAAAATTTCATTAACACTACAGCCATTTTAAGTAAATCTTTGCCTAATGATATGAAATGCCCTTTAATTCCTAATGTCTGCTGCATGAGATAATCCATTTAAGTGAAAGAACATGTTTTGTCAGATTTTGTGGGTCTGACAATTTTTTGAAACAAACTAAGCCTTTTGAGACTTGAATTCCATTTGCATCAGGAAAAAAAAAAGTGAATTTCTGGTTCAAAGGAAAAAATGCTTAGAAGCCATATTTGAAAGGCACATAAGGGGTCTCACACATCAAATAGCTCTTAAAAAACAACATTCTGATGAGTTAACTGTAAATTAATTAGAAACATACAGATTGTTTTACCCTGGTGTTTGACAAAATATGTTTGGAGTTTTCATGACCCAAAAGCATAGTAAAGCAGTTCAAGATGTTTTGTGAAACAAAGATATTTGTTTTCTTCTGGTGATCTTTTTTTTTTTTCCTAGCTAAAAATATCTAATAATCTACTGTTAAAGAATACTGGGAATCATACAGGTATATACTTTTGAGTTCATCAATATATGTAAAAGAAGATATTTCCCTGTAAAGAAGCCAGTTAAGTCATTGTGAATTATTTCAAGTCTTGTAGTGAGCTTGTGAAAGGGTAACATCACCGAGATAAGCATTAAGATATTGTCACTGCATGTCTACAACAAGAAATGGGATAGACCACTTATGTAGAGGTGCTGTGAATGCAGATCCATGCTGGTATAGTCTTTCTACAGAGCTCCCTGGATAATACTGGATTATGAAAATTAGGCCAGAAAACCTGGTTACATAACTGTCAAGTGCATGTATCCCATTTGCAGCGAATTGCAACTAGTCAAAGAAATAAAAATAAATGAAGGATTGTGGAAATGTATGCAGAAAGTAGCTTCCTATAATACCATCACTAGAGAAAGTACTTTAAAGTATTACTGTTAACAAATATTTATTGTAATTTATTGCAATTACTTGCCTAAATGGTGTTAACACATATTAATGCATTAGAATTCCTGAAATAAACCTACCACTAACAAGAAAAAAGAACAGAAAAACAAAGTATAAAGCACTACCTTTTGTGTATTATGCTAATATTTTATTTTTAAGTCTACACTTTGAAGCTGATTTTAGAGTACCATTTCTTAACACATTTGGCTTGCTGCATGCCCAGAGAGACTTGGCTGCTCAGATATGTGTAATACAGTTCTAAATTCTGTCAGAATGTCACATGAAATTCCTTTTGCATTTCATGGCTTTGCATTCCAATTTTGGTTGTGGGAGATTTGGAAGCGAGAGATGACAATTAATGAATGTTTGTTTTCCTGGGTCCTAGAGGCTCTGTGTGTTCAAGTGGATATATTCCATCACACAACCTGCCTCAGCAAAATGAATTCAACGTTCAATATTTTTCAAGAAATATTAATTGATGATGATTACCCCTCTTTGAGACACGTATAACAAAGCTTGCTATTTGGGATGCAAATTGAGGAATGAGATCAACTAAAAAGTTTCTTAGAGTTTTTATTGTTCTTTTCATTCTCAAGTGTCCCATTCTTTTGCTAAAACATTTCCTGTATCCTTAAATACATTAAAAAGTTATACTGAATCCTCACAATCAGGGTTAAAAAAAGAAGTTTAGTATGACCAGTTTCCAGCTTGCTAACTGAAATATTATGCATTTGCTTATTCTCTTATGGAGAAGAAACTATTACACACACAGATCAAAGTGATACCTAAATAATCCCAAGACAATGCAGAATAAGGGCTACAATCATGAAGCTCTAAACAGGACCAGAACATAAACACTTGTAATAGTATAATCAATTTTACCAGTTTCTTAATGAGGTTGGAGTTTGAACATCATTTAAATCAGTAGTCCTCAAACTTCACAGTCTCAAGTACTCCGGACCTCTTATAAAGGGATTAAAGGTCCCCAGAACACTTATGTTTATGTGGGTCATATGTATTGATGCTATTATATTAGAAATTAGAAGATGTTGTTTAGCTGCGGACCCAAATTTAGTATGGCATGGCTTTACATTTTGAACTCATGAAGCTCAGTCAAAAGCAGCTGGATCGGGCTGGGGATGTGGCTCAAGCGGTAGCGCGCTTGCCTGGCATGCGTGTGGCCCAGGTTCGATCCTCAGCACCAAATACAAACAAAGATGTTGTGTCCACCGAAAACTAAAATATAAACATTAAAATTCTCTCTCTCTCTCTCTCTTTTTTTTAAAAAAAGCAGCTGGATCTTCCTATTTGTTTTTGCAACCAGTCCCCTACAATGTCAGATGTCATGTGGCCTCTAGAAAATGTCACTATAGAATCAGGCATTGACCTGGCAGATATTCTAGAAAAGTTTCAGGGACCCAGACTATGCTTTGAAAACCTCTGGGCTAAAAATATTGCATGTCCAATATATTTATATGTATATTGCCATGCATATGTATATTGACATACCACCTATAGATATAACTACTCTGGTTAACAGCTTACTAACCCATAGACAGTTCATTTCATACTGTAAGTCAAACATTCTATTGTTCATTTTTTTTCCAACTGTATAAAGTCTATAGTGTAAGGTTTCAATGCCAGAATGTCAACAAAGATACACAGATCACATGCCAGATGGAGACCTAACAGGATACTTTTCTGACAATACTAAATATTGTATTTTCACATGAAATACTACTGTATTCTAATAATTAAGTCATTGGAGTGAGCAACATTCTGTTTTATAGCAGGGGAAGTGAACAGAGAGAGGATAAGTGACATATCCAATTGCCATAACTAATCTGTGACAGAGCTAGGACAGCTTCCAGCCTAGTGCCTCTTTCAGGTTTCTCACTAGGCCAACTCACCATGCCAAAACACATGGCGAGAAATGAAAATCATTGTTGGGGTGGTGTATGATTTCTTTCTTTTTATTTCTTCATTCTGCCAAATAGCTGTTTTGCTAAGTATGTGGTCAGGACTTCTATATTATTTTTGTGAAATGTTCTGTTCTAATATTTTGAAAATGCTTAATTTCACTCTCTGACCTTACTTTTTCCTCACATGAAAAGTGTGCATCAAGATATCATGATAGCAGGGCTAGGGTTCTGGCTCAGAGCACTTGCCTAGCGTGTATGAGGCACTGGGTTCGATTCTTAGCACTACATATAAATAAATAAATTAAATAAAGTCCATCAACAACTAAAAGTATATATATATTTTTAAAAAGATATCATGAAAGCTCCAGCAATAACAATGTCTTAATAAAACAAGCAGCACAAAATCTACAAATCAAAAAGAAATAATACCACTTAAGTAGGCAGATTTGTGAGAGTACTTTGGATTTGTTCAATCATGTTAAATGGATTTTTTTTTTTTGAAGGCAGGAGCTAGTGATGCTTGACATCCTAGGATATTGCAGAGAATCGTCCACAATAATGCCTGAACAAATCTGAATTGTCTCATTGATGGTCACATGGGTGAATATCTTGTTTATGATTTTCTGATCCTGGATATAAGCTTTATTTAACATATAAGTAAAAGATAGCTTTTTAAAGTTTTATTTTATTTTTCCAAAAAGGCAAGTATCATGTAAAGGAAGACTGTACTTTTATCTGGAAGTCTACCTGGAATTACCTTCTGAGTCAGAAAACCACACTGTGGTGTTAGTGATGCCATAATAGTCCATGTTCATAGCTGTCAGGTTCATGGGATTCTACACACTGATGTGAGCATTCAGCTACCTCAATGGATCCTCTAGTACAGAGACACATAAGCATTTACATACACATTGAAATAGAGGACTATAAATAATTTTCTACATTCTCCCCTTGTATTACAATTAAGATATTTTATCAATTGTGTGTGTATGTAGATAAGTTTTATTATCTATTCTTTTCACTGTAGGATAGCAGAGGGACATCCCCAAATATGTATTTTTAATAGAATGTTGTGTCTGATAATATCAAAATCAATAAGTTAATTCACTAAGAAATCTAACTTTTCTTTGTTCAAAAGTTTAGAGTACTAATAGATATTTCTCAAATTTTGATTCTTACTGAAAAATTATAGTCCCTCCATTTGTGCTAATAGAAATATGAACATAGCTTACAACATTTCTGACTACAGGGTTTGATATGTTGGATTTCTGTAGGGGGTGGTGATAATATCTTGGACTCATTCCAAAAAGAGTCATAAAAGCTACATTCAGCCACCTAAATCATGCAGCCTCAAGTTCCTCAGTCAAAATCCCACTAAAGAGATCAACAGGAAGAGTAGAAAGATGGGTAAGAGGAGGCAATGCAGAATGAATTCTTAAAAAATAATGTTATGTGCATATATAAATATACTACAGGGAACGTCACCTTTATGCATAGGTAGAAACAGCCAATCAAATATAAATAAATAGATAAGCAAAAGGAAGTCTAGTAGAGGAAGGAGAATGGGAGAAGGGAGTGTGGAGAGTAGGGAGGAGGGGGGAATCATGAACTAAAATTGAATTCCACACATGCATGAGTTTGTCAGTCAGAGATTTATTTTGAAAATTGAAAATAAAAATTATTTTCCATAATTACATCATTTCCCCCCCCCTATGGAAGATACAGCCTTTTCTGCTCACTGTTTTGAAAAAAAAAAATTCTCTGAATCAATACAGCTTTCATGGTTGGGAACTGACTTACTTGATTATGTTAGGAGAATATGTACAGTGCTGGGAACAGCATTTACTTCTCTGGCTCCATTAGTTTTTCAGCTATG